CTGTGCTTTGGTTCTCTTTTTGAAAGATGTTTTTAATACTAGCACAATGAGGTTTTGCAAAGCTGGGATGCTATTACACATGCAGAGGTGGCCAGGATGCCTGCAAAACTCTGTGAGATGCTAAATAAAGCTGATCTGTGACTCAGCTCCAGCCTTCAGAAGCAGGTCTCCTACACAGTCCCGCACTGCCAAGCCTGCTCCTGGGGACTCCGCATTTCCCTTCTCAAGTGATGTTTTCAACAGCATGGTATTTGGCCTTCCTTGGCAGGAGCTGTGGTAAGGAACTGGGAGGGATGCCCTGTGCTTGGCTCAGCTTGAACTTTTGTGTGAGCATGCTGAGATACTGGCAGCTTTTACTGCAATATCCTAATACCTTAAATTAAAAAGGGTTGTGAAAAAGACCCTTTTGCCTCATTTGGGGGCTCCAAGGGGGCTCTGCCAGCACAGCGCTCTGTGACCACTCAGTGCTTTTACTGGCAATTCTCAGGCAAGTGGGAATCAAGCCTACATAGTGTACAAAATCTAAGGGGGGGGTTAAAAAGCAGCAGCATGAGAGGTGCAATGAAAGAAACATTTACAACTGTGTCATTAAGGATTTAAAATGAAACTCAGACAGAAAGTATTGATCTCCAGCTGCAGGACAACCTCTTCAGCTTTATTTCAAGCTGTGTTGCTCCGAGATCAGCATGTCTTTAAGGGCTCTGGATGCTTTGGAGGAACCCACCTGTAAAGAAAAACCATAAGACCATCTGTGCTGGGTCTGACCATGGGCCCATGTGTCCTCTTGTGGAGGCTGCCAACAGCAGGTGGCCAGAGAAGACTGTGAACAGAGCACACATATGCTGGGTATGCCCAATATACTATACATACACACACACACTGTACTATACATACCCAAAACCTTAAACTTGCCTACTGTACATCCCACAACCAGGGGTTTCCTACAGCAGAGCTGGTGTCTCTGTGTTTAGTATCCTTGGATGAGTTTCTGTTCCATGACGTTATGTATGTGGGTGCAGACAAACGTGCTAAGGCAAGAGGCCAATCTGGGGGCAGTATGGATTTGCAGAAGGATACGGACCAGGATACTGGTTAAACATTAAAAGCTGTGATCTCTGCTCCCTGACAGTTCCTGGCTAATTCAGCAGCTCTCACACACCAACACAAGCAGCTCTGCAGGGCCTGTGATTCACAGGACTGCACTTGCTGACTCCCAAGCTGCAACCTAAACCCCGAGTCCTGTACCCCTCCTTGGTTTTCCAGCATGGGCTGCTGCCAACCTGCAAGAGCTCAAGGTACCCATCAAATCCCAGCCCTCACAAAAATTTATGGAATTGTCCCGTCTACCATGCAGTAGATGGTGGCCAGTGCCAGCAGGACAGACAGAGAGCCCTGTGCAGTCAAGAGACCAGATCCAGCCCTGCACAGGGCAGCCAGATTTGGGCTTAAGAGGTGCAGCCAAAGAGCTGTGCTTGCGTTTGGCTGTGTGTTGGTGTCCCTGGTGCCTGTTGCCGAGGAGGTTACAACTCACCTCTCTGCCTGGAGACGGCTTTCAGGTTGCAGATGCTAGCAGGTAGCTTGCAGGTGTAGAGCCCCAGGCAGCCACCACAGTCAGAGGGCTTCTGGCAGGGCCGGGACTGAATGATATGGCAGGAGTGCTGCAGAGAGAGGGAAAGTGGTGGCTGCAGTGCCAGTGTCCAGCTGTGCCCAGCACCCATACAAGGACCCCCTCCCAGTCCCAGCTGTGTCATCGCTGTGCTCACGCTGCCAAGAGCCCCAGGGAGCCTGTGCTGTTCACAGGCTCGAAGAGACACTTTCTGTGCAGCCTCTTGCAAAGTCAGAAGGTTTCCTTTGGGGGTGCACATGCCCCACAGCTGGTTAGTTGTTTTGGGAACTGCTCAGTCCTGGAACCCCGTGATTGCCAGAGTCTATCAGCTCCATCACACTCAAGCTGACAGCAGTGTGATGCCTGGGAGTGGGAAGAGCTCAGAAGAGCCTCTTCATTTGCCCCAGAAGGGCAGGGCAGAGAAGCTCCCATTAGAAAGAAAAGCAAAGTTGTAGAAGATTATTTGATAGAATGGGATGAGTGTTTGGTTTTCATTTAAAATGGTAAAATAATGCAATAAATCCTGCAGTAGCAGGACAAATAGCTCACCAGGCTATAGTACAGCAGCTTCATGCAAGGAGCTGGAGAAGCTGGGGCCTGAGGAAGTGGTTCCAGGGGCAGTTCATTACTGCTTTTGGCAGAAAGCACACTCAGCAGCTTTGTGGCCACCACAAACATACACCAGTGGCTCTGCTCTTTTGCTTCTGTGTCACCTGCCCCAGCTGGGTGGCACCTGGCACAGCATCACACAGCACTTCTTGATTAAGGCAAGGTCTACTTGTGTGTCGCCAAAAGTTGGTTTGGGTTTGATAATGGAGCAGTTGGTTATTTGCTGTGCTGAGCCCACGGAGCAGGTTTCCCATGGGCAGAGGAGGTCTGTGCCTCCCTCTGGCCATCGCTGCGAGGAGCTGTGCCTGTCAGCATGGCAAGGGGCATCAGGGCACAGTGCTCCCATTACAGAGCTCAGAGAGCTTTGTGGTAGTGCTTCTGGGAGGGTAAACATGAGACTTTGGGGGCTGGGGAACATTGCAGGGGCTGGGGCTGGAGCAGGACTGTCCCTGCAGCTCTGAGGACAACATGTGATGCTGCAGCCAGACTTGCACTCCTCTCCTGCTCTGCTCACTACCTGCATGCACAGCCATCAGCTCTGCTCTAAGCCTTGCCAGGTACTAGCTGGGGCTTTAGGGGTGTCACTGCCCACCTCCCTCATCAGCACCACAAGCCACACTGTGCTGTGAGGTTATGTTGTGACTGGCACCTTTACATGCAGCTTATGAGGAATGGCCTGAAAGCACCTTTGTACCTGATGTTTGTAGGGTCATGGCATGCTTGGCACCTGCTCCTGCTGCCCTCAGTCCTGCCTGATCCTGACTGGTACCTCCACTCATCCCCAGCCACCCTGCAAACCCCTCCCGCAGACCCTCATACTCGCTGGCCAAGGACAGGTTGTGCTTACCGTGTCACTGTTGAACTTCCCGTAGTCCTTCAGGTGCAGGCTCAGCCTCGGGATCCTGCTGCGGGAGGGCTGCAGTGGGAGCCTCCAGGGCTTGCTGGCAGGGACCTGATCCCCACTGCCCAGCCGGGGTTTGGCCATGATCTTGCTGGGGGACCCGGAGCTGGGGTGTGCCTCTCCCATCGCTTTCCATGCACTGGCTGGGGGGTGGCTCCCCTCTGAGCCATGCCCAGGCAGCTTGTCCCCTCCATCTCCAGGTGGCCAAGCACCTTCTCCAGGGCCCCTAGCTCCTGGCTGCCTCTTGGGGTTGCTGGCCTGGCCCCTCAGTGCCCCAGATAGTGCTGGGGCTGAGCAGAGCAGCACCAGGAGGAGCGCAGCAAATGTCAGTGCCTGGACCTTCATCCTCAAGGCCTGCCTTTGCTCGGGGTTCTCCTGCCTGGACAAGGCTGTTGGAGGCTGGAGCAGAGGTGGAAGCTGTTTTCCCCCTGACTCTGGATCCAACTGAAGTCATTTTTATACAGCAGCGACATAACTTGGGGGCACAGCCCTTTTCCCCCGCCCCTGCTCTGTCCCACCTCCCTGCTTACGAACAAATCCAGCTGCTTGTGTGGGCCCCAGTCCCCCCCCCTTGTGTTCCCAAACACCCCAGCACCCTCCTGCCATGGCCACCCTGTCCAGTGCCAGGTACACACATGGGTGTATGGCATCTCCCATTTCGGAGCACAGAATCTTTTAGCTAAACCACAGTTGCAAGCAAGGTCTTAGTAAGGGTGAGGCTGCTGGCAAACGTTTGTGTGTCTGAAGGAAAGGCAGCAGGTTCAGAAGTAAGGAGTTGGTATGGGCCTGGTGAAAGTGGTCTTGGCTAGAGGAAGGATACCCAGTTAATGCCTCTGTCCATTGCATTCTTAAATAGTAGAGCCCACCCAAGAGAGAGGTGTTAAAGCTGCCCTGACCAAGCTTTGGTTGGCTTTTGTGCTGTGTCAGACACCTGGGATCTGCTCCTCAAACAAGGGTTCTCACTATGGGTGGTCTCTATATGAAATGGAGGGTAAGTCTGTACTCCAGACTTGCTAGCTGTTCAAGAACCAGCCAGCACCAAGACCTAACTCTACTAGAAATTAGTTTTAATGAGTTTCAGTGTTCACTTATCTGTCGATGCCCACAGCTGCATCCTGTGCACATTACATGCTGAGAGAGAGAGTAGGTGACTTTTCCTCATTGCTTCCATGAGAGATACCCTTGCTCCCTCTGCTCTCTTTTGCTTCAGACTTGACACTCCAGACTAAAGAAGGAAGGAAGCCCCAAGTTCAGAGGAAGGCGTGTGGAACAAGGGTCTGTCATCTTTTAAAGGCCACCAGCTGCTCCCTGGTTACCCCTCTTAGCTTAGTTTTGCCTACTTTTTCCAGGGGCATTGGACTTCAGAGCAAGAAAGTGTGGCTGGCTGGCTGGCTCAGGAAGACTGATGAGGTTATCCTACAATGTCATGATCCTGCCAGCTGCACCTTGCCACAGGTTGTGGTCCACGGGACCTCTTAGATAGAAAGGATTTTGCTGGTGGGCCCAGCTGAAGAGACATGGTCCTGAAGATCTGGGAGTCAATGACTGAGGAGCTACCATGATAATGGGCAACAGTGACACAAGGTGGAGGAAGAATAAATTCCCTCAATAGACAATCTAGAAGGACTGGAGGTCAGGGAAGCAGGAGGTCTGAAAGACCAGAAACCAATTTTTCTTTACATGGAATTTCCCTGGTTCGGGGCCTCCTTCCCTGAGCATTTACTTAGGCCCAAAGCAGATGAGTGTTCCCAAAGTGTTCTCAAAGCAGATGAGATGGAGGGATGAGGGGTGGGTGAGATATACTGTCAACAGGCAGAAGAACCAAGCTGTGGTTGCTGTAACCCACCAAATAAATTTTTTAAAAAAAATTTAAAAAAAGGACAGTTAACAACAGCAGACAAACATAAATGTGAACAGTGCAATATCAGTTTTCACCGAATGCACTCCACAAACACTTCACCTCCCAAAAAGTACCATGCACCAAAAGTCTAAATCCTCTGGTCAGCACCCAGCCTTTGAACTCAACACTTAAAACAGTCCAGTTCCTGGAAATAGGAATGCTGGGACTTCAGGGAAGTGATAGATGAGAAAGCCACGGTGTTCTAGTCCATCTTCCATACCTTCACCTCTGGCCAGCTCCTGCTCTTGACTTGCTCCTGGCTGACACTGGAAGTGCTGATTTCTGGGGAAATGGGCTCATAGGAACAGAGAGACAAGCTTGCAGCAAGCAGACCCATCTGGACACAGGTGTCTGTGTCATGTTTAGCAAGCATCCCTGCAAGGATTCCTCCCATTAAGCTGTGGAGAGAAAGAAAGATGGTTTTGAACAAGAGGGGAACAATTTTGACCTTGGGAACGTGGCCATTCATTTGTAAGGGCTTTCATTTGGATCCAAACCAACACTTACAGAAGCTGAATATGTCAACTTCTCATCTCAAAAGTTGAGGCATTTTCTCTTGCATCACATTTTCTATTCTCCTCAGTTTTCCAGGTGAGGCAGGAGAAAAGAAAGGAGTCTAAGAAGGGAAGAATATACTTCTCCCTTGCTCTCTAATTATTTTGTCACTTCTCTGCTCTTTGTTGGTGCCTCATTATGTCCCCTCCTCTCCCTATAGGGGTTGGATAGGGTGAGAGGTAAAGTTTCCATACCTATGTGAGAGGGACAACAGGCATAGCTGGAAAAAGAAATCCAAAGCTGAAATGAGATTGGAAATTCAGATTTTTAAAAACATTTGCTGTGGTTTTCCATTTGAGATTTCCCAGTAAAAATTGTGTGAGTGCTTGCAACAACAGTTGTCATCCTCGGTCCCCACAAGGCACTGAGGCAGACAGCAGGAGAAGGGAATGACTTTGGCATCTGCCTGACTTGCAGGGGAAGGCTCCTTTGAGGCATGGATACGTGCAGGGCGGTGTTTGTGATAGACTGGGAACAACTACTCTTTATTCACAGTCAACTACTCTAATGATGTTCTGAAGCTCAGAAAGGATAAAGGAGAAGTGAAAGAGAAGGGAGAAGACAATGCCATTTGAGAGGAAGAAGCAAGGAAAGGAAAATACGATGTCAAGGAGGATTAATAAGCACATCTATGGGGAAGGGAAAAAGAGCCCTTTTTTTGCACTCGGGCTAATTACCTTAACATCTTTTTATCCATAACAAAGGCACAGAAGATTATGACTTCCATAAAGTGTTCAATCTCTCAACAGCTCCAGAGATTGAGAGTAAATATTTGGGGGAGCATCCCCTAGCAATGCTGTGTGCGGGCAGGCGATGTTATGTTGTCACGGCAGCCCCCTGCAAGGAGCAAACAGCTGCTGCTGCCACCTGCACACACACTCAGCTCCTTGGGCAGCATCTCTGGACTTGTGGGAGAGCCACAGGGTCAAAGCAAGGCAAGAAGTGCCCTGGATCGCTGTTTCTGGGTGTGCACTCTCCCCTGACCAGTGCTTCAAAAGTGTGAGGGTTCACGGGGGCCAAGCTGTGGAAGTATTATTGTTTAAATTAGATATTAGGAAGAAATTCTTTACAATGAGAATGGTGAAACAAGTACAGGTTGCCCGGATAGGTGGTGGATGCCCCATCCCTGGAGATGTTCAAGGCCAGGTTGGATGGGGCTCTGAGCAACCAGACCTAGTTGAAGATGTGCCTGCTCATTGCAGGGGGGTTAAAACTAGATGACCTCTAAGGGTCCCTTCCAACCCCAACCATTCTGTGATTCTATGATAGTCCTTTAAAAGTGCCAACAGGCTGGGCTTGAATGCTACCAGTTCAGGCATGAATGTTACCAGTTCATGTGCTGTGGAGATGGCATGTATGTCACTGCAGTGTCCTAGCATTTGCAGCCTGTTTTGGCACTCTTACTCTGTAGAATAGGAATTTCTGCAGCTCAGAGGAGCAGCTGAGGTTATTAGGAAAGAAAACCCTGGACAAACAAGAGGACTATGAAAATTCCCCCACATGGATTTGGGGACTCTAGGGAGAGGGATTTCCAGATGAACGTTACCTCAGGAATGGGAGCAGCATTGGGCCCCTAGCTCTCAGATAGCTTTGGAAGGAAAAGTAAACTTCCGAGTTCTCCAGTATAACTCAATAGAGGTGGTTGGCAGTGGCATGCTTTATCTCACCTTTGGTCTTCCCTTAATTTAACTTTTTAAAAAGGGAAAGGAATCCCTAAGGAACACGTTTAGTTTACATTAGCCTCTAGAAAAAATTGTCGTGCAGTAAGGGGTACTGGTGTTCTGAGCAAATGGTGCAGAGAGGAGGCTCCCTGGAGGGGCTGGCAGACAATAGGGACATCTGTTGGGATCATGAGCAAAACTCAGCTTTCCTTAGGACAGGCTGACTCCATGAGGTTCCTCCAGCCCCTTTTCCTGCTGTTACACCTATTGCTCCAAACAACCCTAGAGAAGACCAGCTTGCAGTTGCAGTCAGCTCATCTCAGAGGTGGTCTGGGACACAAGGAGCATGTCCTGGTGCTAAGTGGGCTAACTGGCTTGGCAGGAAGTTATTGATTGATCCTAAGTCAAATATTGAGGACTCTGTATGTTTAAAAACAAACAAAGAAAACCCACAAAAACCCTTTTCATTCTGCCCACTGATAATAGAAAAAAAGAAGTGTTGCAATGATGAGTTATTGGTAGGTAAGCATAGAAAAAGAAACGGAAATATCTGTCACATACAGACTTTTGGTCTGGCCCAGAATCAATTATTTCACCATAAGAAGCAAGAAAAAAAAAAAACAACCCTGCCTGCTACATATAGTTTGTCAAGTTAAAAAGGAGCATAATAAAATATTACTCTGACAGACTGAGAATTGATCAGCAGGGCTAGCTAACATAGCTGTCATTTCCCACTCCTATGTAGGGCATTGTGTGAACAGCCAGGCGAATTATACAGCAGACTCTTTTGAAGCAAGAGCTTTAAAATTGCCAGAGGCAAATGCAGAACCTGATGAAATGCTTTTATAGGGCCATTTTTGCTATTGAGTGGCAGTTCCACTTCCACTGGAGAAGTGTGGAAGTAAAGCAGTTAGTTAGTTAGATAGCTTTGATGTAAGGTGGTTTACTTTGCTTTTAGCAGCTCAGCCCAGACTAATTCAGAACTCTTAGATTGCCAGGAAAGGCTTGGATCTTAAAGAAAAGCAAAACTAATGATGGCAAGCCTTCCAAGATGCTTCAGGGGACATTTTTATCGAGCTTTGCAAGGAATCACAGTAACCAGCCCTGTTCTCACGTCTTTGGTGTCTCTTCCTCTAGTAGCAGAATGTCGTTCTCGCCTTTGCAGTAAAATTTCAAAGAAATCCGATTATGGCCCTTCCACACTTAGTTGGAGAGTACAAAGCAGTGAGCAATATACCTGTCGCCAGCTCCTGAGACATTGACTATCTCCTCTCTGCTGATGGGGATGGTGGGGTAGTGGGCGGCACAGAGGCTGGCAGCAGCAGTCTGTGGGAGTAGAGAAGGGAAATTAGTGGGAATTGCCAAAGCTGATAAGGCCTGATGTGGGTGATGCCAGACCTGCATGGTTGACAAAAAAAGAAAAGACTGAAAAAAAAGCAATAATCTTTTTTCACACTTTGAAAGAGATAATTTAAATGAAGCTTCCCGAAAATGAAGCTCGCAGTCATGAATATTCATGTGAGCGCATTTAAAACTAACTGACTATAAACACTGCTCCTAGGAGCCAGCAGTATATGGACAGACAACTTGATTTTCTTTCAGAGCTGTGTATTCCACCTCCCAAACACATACATTTTCCAGCACTGATGCCATGTTTCCTAGGACTGCTGCCGTGCCACCAGAAATAGTAACAGTGCAATATGGTCCAAGAAAGAAGCAACTGAGAGCTCAGAGTTAGTTTGCTGCGCCCTTACCTGTTCTTGAGCTCCTGGACAAAGCAAGATGCTCCCTCCCAGGCTCTTGCCACACAGGAGGACGCCGTGAGTGCCGAGGGTCACCACCACACACTGCAGGTGGGCCAGCAAAGGGCAGGCCAAGGCCACCGCAGTCTGGACAACATCCTCCAACCTGGATGGCAGCTCTTCAGAGAGTGGGGAAGGAAAACCGTGTTATAACTGTAAAGGTCCTCAGCTGGCCTTTCTGTGGGCTGACAGCCTATTTACGAGCACCTCTACTAGTATTTATGAGCACTTCTGAGATGTGGTTGATAAATTTTTTTTCTCCAAATTATGGGAAACAAGGAATTCCTCAGTGTTAGACTTCCATACTATATTTCTATGCTGGGGAATCCAGCACTCAAAGGGACTAAACCTGTCCGTAGAGATCAAAAAAACTGTCTTGAAGCGCACCTTCCTTGTCTTAATGCTGTTGGATTTCCACCTGCCTTTGGCAGGGTGTTTCATTTCTGCACAGGATGGTACTGTTGGGACAGATGCCTCAGAGTACTGTGCTTCAGAGACATGGTTACAAACCAAAGATTGCTCCTGCTTAGCTGGTGAAGTGAGGCAAATGGGATCTCTGATTTCAGACAAGGAGCCATCCCAGGCCTGCTGTGCTCTCTGATAGATCAACAGTCCATACAATCCATGCAGATATGGCTGTAAGGTGCAAGACACCAAGTGTACTTAAGAATTTCCACGGTTATAACCCAATTTGCTTAAAATAGAGGCTGGAGCAGAAAATGCTCTTCTCCAGGATGTAGGTTATCTAAAAGTGTTGCTGATCCTTCTGAGTATTAAATACCTGCTGGCACAGGGTTCCCAAGGGTCCGATTTATTGCTCTTAGCTCTTGCAGGTTGGGGGAAATGTATGTGAGTGCTTTCCAGCTGTCTGAGAGGAACGGCTTAGAGGCCTTGTTCTCATCTGTTGGCTCATAGCACACTTCAAAACAACAATGCAATTGGTTAGTTAATTAATTAATTAGTGGCTCATCTCTATGTCAGAGCAGGATGCAGTGCAGAAGGCTTAGTGTGATCTGCACAACTGGAGTTACACAAGTAATCTATTAGAAACTTAAATACTATTTCCCCCATGCTTGTGACAAGGTCTCCCAAGGGCTACTTTTCAGTGCTCAGCAATGAGACAGCTGCTTCTGGCTCCAGAGTGATACCATCAGACTTCAGTTTTGTTACTTGTCTTAGCTGCTTTTGGGGCCTCTGCCAGATTTTAAGATCATTGTGTCCTCTTTTAGGATTTGCTTTTAAAAATGAAGGTGTAACTCCAAAGGTTTTGGAAGCCTTGTGAAAGGTCCCCAGCATGCCAGTGGAGAGGGGGTATTTATTTTTTGGGAAGTGGGAAAGAAAACCTCTCAAAAAATGCCTTAGGACTTATTCTGAGAAGCAAACTATATTGCTGCTCAACTGGCAGAAGTGCTCAAATTGGCACTTGCCTTGAGATTAAAGACAATGAAAGCAGCTTCCCCTGGCTTTCTGGTAGTGCCCAAGGGCAATACTAACTACACTTCAGGAATCTGATTTAGCTGCAGAAAGAGGAAAACTCAAGAGAAATCAGAAATGTTTTGTCCATTGGAAACAGAGTAGCAGAGTACAGAAACAGGCATGTCAGACAGTAACTGGGTATCTCCAGCAAGCAGCGGAGGCTGGGGTGCACAGAGCACAGAATGTCTAGGCACACAGGCTGTAAGGAGCTACAGGGCCAGGGCTGGGCAAGTTTTCCTTACCTGCTAGCTGATGCTCTTTAGCTAGTTGGCAGACGTACTGAATAGTGGAAAGAGGCACATTTCCATCAATGCAAACTAGCGGGGCCTGACACAGGGTCTCCTTGAACTGGGACACCTAGTGAAAATCCAGGACACGGAGGAGAGACAGCTTGAGTCATTGCAGAGGGACAAAATGATTGCTAGTTAGACTTGAGGTAGGATTTTCACTTGTATTGCAGCCCTTAGGTGCAGGTATGAACCTACAAGAGCAATTCACCAAGGGAAATGGATTTTTCCATTTGCCTCATCTCTTCCCCTTCTCCTTCCCCTGCTCCTTGCCATCAAGTGCTGGACTCAACTGGCAGGGCCCCTCTGGCAAAGAAAGATAGTTGCTGGTACTCACTAGACCACTACAAGGAGAGAGAATGCTGCTGTTTAATGCCACTGCAGGATTCCCTGTGCCATGCCTGGCTTCACTCCACCTTTTCTCACTCCACATGTCATTTAGATGTCCTCTGTGCACAGTGCCTCCTAAGACAGGTTGTTCATCAGCATTTTACTCCTTGGCCCTACTGAATCCCATAGGGATGGAGGACAATGGAGCAGTAGAGTGGGGAGTTGCTGTTCTCTCCTTTGGCTCTCTGAGTCTGCACAAGCACTGTCTGGATGCCAGGCCAGCACTACAGGTACTCGTGCAGCATCCCTCCTGTGTCTCTGCCAGTCCTGGCAGGAGGAAGTGCTGCCAGAATGCACTTTGCAGAAGAAGACTGGTTCAGAATTTCCACTGGCCAAAGCTGTTTCATAGAGCTCAGGAGAATTAATCTGTCATGTAACAGTTTTCTGTGCCAAGGCTTGGGGGAGGCAAGGTGGGGATGTAAGTGGGAATGGTGACCATATTTTTGCCTAGGAGGGTTCCACCTCAGGGAGACGCCACTAGTAAGTAAATTGCATTTAACTTTCATGTTGCTGTCAGTCGTGAAGCACAGGCTTTTGTTCTGTCAATAAAAGAATGAGTAGGGGAGGAGGGTGCAGTGAGGGGCTTTCACTGAATCAGTCCTTAATCACTGCTTCCATTAGCCCTGATGTTTTTGAATGTTTGGATGTGCTGAGCAACAGTTTCTGTTGATACAACTCAGCATGTAGAAACAACAGGAATGGTGGGGAGGGGATAGAAGAGGAAAACTTGCTTTAACCAGTGTTCTGTCCATTTTTTTTTAAATTTTATTTTCTCTATAAGGAGAAATATCATTTCTGCAGACTGGATTTATTTCTGGCTTTAAGGCACCAAAAATTATAGGCTAGCTTGGACAAGTTAATGAAGAGGATTCTGGCCTATGTGTCATGGATCATGGTAGTGGTGATACTTATGGACCAGAAACAGAAACTCCACTTGAGTCAGCAGCAACAGAGGGCTCTGGTAGCTTCTCATGCTGCTATCTCAGTGGCCAGTGGCTGGGGTTAACTTTAGCATCTCTCATGTCCCTCTGCACACCCGCTCTCCCCGGTACAGGCTTTACCAGTGGCCTTTTGTCACAGGTCCACACTCATTCTCGTAAGAAAAGCTTACAAATCAGATGGTGTGCGTACGTATTGCTCTGTGATCTGCTGGTGGATGTCCATATCTCCCAAGCCGATGCTGAGCTCCCCAGCACTGGTGACCACAGCACAGTAAGTGGCTGTGCTCTTCCCCTCCAGCTGAAGGACAGCACTCATGTCCTGAAACAGGGAGGACAGGTACACACTGAGCATGTTTCTCTTCCCTGACACACTTGGCTCAATCTTTCTCTAGCCCAGCTCGCTGTTCTCCCTTCCAGCACCCTTCTCCCTTGGGATAAGCAGCATTTCAGCAGTGTCTCAGTCTAGACAGTGCTGGCACATGGCTATTTTTTAATATTTTCAGTGCAACACAGGTTAAAGCAATCCATTAGTAAATGAGAGTGACAGGTCTCTGCCATGCAGTTCCACAGGCTGTGTCTGTCATAACAGAACAGTGGTCTGCAGCCCTGTCTACTCCAGTCATCCACTCCTGTAGCTTGTGTGACACTCTGATGGCCTGCTGACGTGCTGGCATGTGTTGGTGGCACACTGCAGCTAGCAGTTATGTTGGCCACCTCATGAACTGCCCAGCTGGATTCTAAAAGCAGCCTTGGAGCCATTTTTGCAGCAGTGGGGCAGACGTAGCTGTGACATATCCTTCCCCTGTGGGTCTTGTGAATGATCTGCTTAGAGAACTCAGGGCATATCTTGGAAGGAGCACGTGGACAGAGAAATGACAGGGAAGGTGGAGGTTTCAGGGAAAGGGTCCTCTCCAACAGTTAGGAATGTGTTTTGCTACAAGTAAGGATTGCTTGGTAGCTGGCCAGTAAGTCCATCCTTCCTTGGGAGACTACTCACTTTGGTGGCACAAACTGTGCTGTGTAGAGGAGGGATTAGAGACCAGCCGCTATGAAGCCTTTATAAACCAAAATGGAGTTCAAGCTCTCATTGCTCAACTTGTAAAGTTGCTAAGGTAGCCAGAACTAAGGTCTTATGGGCTCTGTTTGAGTACCAGGGTCATGAGGGCACTCATAAGCCTCAATGATCCTGACTAGCCTCACCTGGGGGCTGTATCAACCTTGCCTTGCCTTCAGTCCTGCCTCTTCTCTATGGAGTTGCCTTATGCCCTAGGTTAGGGCTGCCCTCCTGGCTTTTTTTGCTCCCTGCTGGGGTGGTGATATTCTGCCTTGATGTCCCAGGGAGCTCCTGCTGCTCCTGGCTTCCTGACCTGGGTGGACAAGCTGCTGCTGAAGTCAAGTATTCCCCTGGGGCACAGGTAAGGGGGGTGTCTGCAGCTCTGTAGAGGACTCTGCTCCTCTGAGCTTGGGGGGTGTCCAGCCTGCAATCCCAGTTCCAGGCTTTCTCTGTCTTGGGCTTTACCCAAGCCAGGGTGATTTTGGCATTGCTTTGTGTATCCTCAGGGTCAAGGTTTACATATTTGTTGCTGTGCTTAGCCCTTACTAGAATTTTTCATGGTTCCTCCTGATTTACCTCTATCTTCTTCAAGCACTTGCTGGAGTGGAATTTAGACCCCATAGTTAGACTCTAAATGTTACATACATCTAGCCTGTGCTTATGGGGTTAGCTCCTTGTTTTCCAATTGCCTGTAACTAAAGAAACATTGAATTATTCCTACTCTAAGCCTGATGAAAGGTGGCTCTGATGTCTGCCAGGGTTGAGAAGACTTTTCCCTCTACGTATTGTCATCACTTCCATGTTTCTGAGGTGCCACTGCTGTGCAACATACCATGTGGTGGCAGTAGTGCAGGACAGACTGTAAATGCTCATCCTTCCCCACAGCTGATAAAAGGAGAGGAGTTTGTCCAAGACGGCTTAAACAGTCTAAAAAGCAAATGGAAACAAAAGCTATTAACAAATCCACCAGATTAGTGGGAACACAGTGACAGCCTGTATGGGATGGGTGTCTGTAGGAAAGCCCTCTCCTGGAAAATTTAATGCTCATCAGTCCTTGCCTAGAAGGATAATCAAGACGAAATTCAGCTGCAGCTGTTGCAAATGGCTGGTTGGAGCTGAGTGAGGTGATTCTGCAGAAAGCTGCACCAGCACTCTGAAATCTGGGATTATTTGGAACATCTGCGAGTGGAGGAAAAGAGGAGGGGGAAGAAAATTCTGCACTTTTTTGGCATCAATTCCTTTATCATCACAGGCATGTAGGTTTTCCCATAATGTTTCTGTGCATGGCATTTTTTGCTGCTGGCCTTCCCACACTGCTGTTCCCACAGTGATATCTCACTAGAACCACTGAATCTAAGTGGATTCACGGGAAACCCTTCACCCTCTCCCTTCAAGTTACTACAAATTATACCTCAGTGGGTGTCATGGGTATTTTGGGGTGTTTTTTTTAACACTCAAGCCTCTTCATTAGTGATCTGAAGTGACAGTAGATTTATGTTAGGAAGATTTCAGAAACATCTAAAAGCAGGAATAATCCTAACATCTTTCTGTAATCTGCCCCAGTTAATTTCAATACACAAAGACTGGTCTGCTGCTTCTTATGGTGGAGCACCAGGTACAGTGGGATCCTTTCGTATTGCCAAGGACTGTAGCCCTTTCTCTTCTACAGTAACTCCTGTACCCCAGTCCCCCTTGTCCATAGGACGTGGTTGATCACCTTTGAACAAGCTTATTCCTTTCAAATTCTTACTCAAAACATACTTCTATTGTGACTACAACTTGGCATTAATTAAATCTGAGGGCCAGGCTGCTCAGTAGTCATTGGAGAATGCTGATACTTATTTAACTTTGATTTGGGGTCAGGGTGCTATATGCTAGTTAGCTTCATATTTGTGGACCTTCCTTTTCTGATCTCAACTCCCTCCCCTCTTATTTCTTGGAATGGCCCCTGCCTTTTCCAAGCAGTCTGCCCACTGGTATATTGCCTAATGTGTCCCAAATCTTGACAACATTAAACATCTGCCGTTGAAGGAATACCAAAGGACGAATCACAGCTGGCATGCACCCGCAGGCAAACCCAAGTACAAGGCACCTGCCAAGTTTCTTCCAACACCGCCAAAGGTTCGTCTCACTCTTCCAGCATTTGTTTGCCCACCACCCTGGAAGAAAAAGCTGTTAGTTGGTAAAACTGGGAGGGCTGCTTGGCATAGATGCTATGTCTCCACCAACATGTGAAGTTGCTGAAATATAGGTCAGCAATCAGAGGGAGCAGAGGGCATTCACCTAACAGATTGAGGGCAATACAAACTTCTGTGGCCATCTGTAGACTTCAATCTCAATGACAAGGGGCTGCTTTCTGGAAGGGGAGATCCACTTCATCTCCCCATGAATTGCTATTTTGGTCTTATTTGCAAAGACCTCCTACAACAACGCTAATGAGTGTTTCTGTTGCTATGAGCAGCAGTCTGAATTGACCTGCTCAGAACAGCCTGGGACTCCAGAGCTGCTGACCCAGACCTGACGGGCTCTGCAGCTGCTTTCCAGGCCACTTAGCTCCCACCTTAAACAGTTTGGGGGTTTTATTTATTTTCCTCTTTGAACCTAAAATGATATTTGTTACCTTTGCCTGTACTGCCTCTGTACTTTATTCATGGAAGGATCTGAAAAGTCTGAAGATTTTTTCACTCACCCTTTGCTTCCCAAACATCTCTCTCATAAAAAATACCCTTCTTTTTTACGTGTGGCTATCAACTTCTCTTTTCTCTTGCCTCTGCCTTCCACTCCTCTGTCCATCTGCCTCTCTGTCACAAATAGACAAAGTGTCAGAACACAGGCAATCGCTCACCCATCTCCTAATTCCTCTGCCAGAAGAATTACATCAGTAAGTGCTCAGATCAATCTGGGCTTCATCTGACTATCAAAGGGTTTTAGAGCTCTCGTTTCATAAAATCCTGACACATATTTTCCATTTCTGGAGCCAGCTTGCCACTGGCAGTTATAGTGATCTTCATAGGGTATAACTGAAGCTCCCCAAGGGCTCTTCTTCCCCTGCATGAAGCGGTACATCTATCCTTTGCACACAACTCTTTCTCCTGCATCCAGCCCTATAACCGTAAGAGGCTGCTCTCCCACCTAAGTATGCTCTTTTATTACTTTGCTCTGACCTCCAGGCTCTTGTTTGTAGCTCTGACTCTCCCCAGTTCTGTACTTTGTAAGACTTGGTGCTAATTCTTGACACCTTTACTTTTCTGTCTGGCAGTTCTCCAAGCCCAGAACTGTTCACATCACCTGAGCAGAACTGCCTCTACATAAACAACTTATGGCCTCTGTCCATCTTTCCATTACTTGTCATTTCTCATTAACGCAAATGCCCCTTGGTTACATTTCCTCATGCTCCCTGGGAGTTGCCACTGGCACTGCTGGGAATGAGGATATTTCCATCTACAACTGTGTCCTGTTGAGTGTTGCAGATTTCAAAAGCATTGAGCTCAGCTATTTTAACTCTGAAGCTTACTATCTGTAATAGAGTCAGCCAAGGAAAAAAAACCCCAACACTCCAAAGTAAAAAGCAAGGGTGCTTGTTTAGGCAAGTCAAATAACATGGCTTTGAACACTGGCCACTGTTTCAGTCTTAAAAGAGGGTGCTCACTGCCATCAGTAATGAGCACAAACTGTGTTTCATGTAGTTCCACTATCTGTTTTCTAAAACTGATGCTTGCAGGAATGGTGAAAATACTCATGAAGTCCTTTAGTTGCCTGGCATGCCGATCCTCTCTTTTAGTTCCCTGTGCTCCCAGAGGCAGAGTTGCTGGGTTTTTATGCCAAGCCTTGCCCTAAGAGCAGATATACCAGCCTCCTGCTCAAGGATCCACCTGTGGGTGAACTCCGCTGTTGTACAACCCTACAGGGCCTAAAAAAATGAAGATGCTAGATCTCTCTTTAAAGTAGCAGGTGGGTGCAGTGAGAGAGAAACCAGCAGCCAGCTTTTGAAGAAAAAAAAAATGAATTACTCTCATCACACTTTGCCACCTCAGTCGTAACTCCAAGTCTGAGCGGTACTCAGGTATCTCCTCTACACTGTGGTCGGGTGGGGCTGGCTGAGATGAAAGAACTTAGATGAAAATGGACTTGTTGAAGTGATATGAAATAAGGCTGGGCTAACGCTTTCTGGCAGTGTTTCAGAGAACTGAGTGAGCCTCTGGAACCTTCTTCAATGTCTTAAGAGATTTGAATTCCTAATGTAAAAGTGAGACTCTGCTCAACTTCTGGGTGTCCTGGGGGAGTTATAACCATAATGCTTCTTCCAGCATCTTTCTTTGAGCAAAACTATGCAACCTTCTCAGCAGGTCAGATAGTTACCTATGAAACACTTAGCTTCTGGGTAGCCTTGAAAGCCATGTGGGAATTGCAACCAGGACAGAATACAGCTGCTTTCCTGTTGAGACACCATGAGGTGCGAGTGGTACCCCAGTGCTCTACAGCAAATCTAACAGGCATAAAGGTGGGACCTGCTGGGTGCTGAACCCTTTGGAAAAAATCTCTTTAAAAAGTCAAAACAAAGCAATGCTTTCCTCTGTGCCTAACCACAGTAGCTGTCAGCAGGAACATTTTGGATGTCAGTTCCGAAATCCTCCTGCAGCTCGGCATTTGGGTAGCTGTCGTGATGGACTATCAGCTCTAGGGTTTGCTACTATACAGAAGGGCAGCTAACACCTCACTTTTCCAAGTAACACTAAAACTCTCTTTCTTCCCCTGTCAACAGTTCCCAGTGGGGGCTATAGTGGTCCTTGGCCCTCTCACCATGCTATAGGTGGGATTTTCACTCATGTCTGACATGCCAAGAAATGCCTATTCACCCTTGGACATAGCTCTGCTCCTTGTCCTGACAGCTGAGTGTGGGCTATGTATGTTATTGGTTAGATCACAGGTGAAACACTCGAACTTTTGGGTTTGCAAGCCTTCATAACCAATGCCACAGCATATTTCACCCTTGACCATTATAACACTGTTTGGTCTTTGTATCATGCAACAGCCAAATTCCTTAAGGACAGCTTTCCCATCACATCTTTCCCTATCTGACTGAGGCTGCCCCATCTCATGGTGAAAGCTTCCTGCCTTGACGATCAGCATAGGGTAATTTGAGACACTAGAGAATTTTTGAGGAAGTTTCACCACCTCAATCTGCAGTACTTCATATAGCTAAACAAAAATTTTACAGGCCATGCAAACGGCCACCATTTGCATAGAGGAGTCCCAGGTCTGTTCCACTTGAGCTTCTTGGTTGTTTCTTGTTCAAACCAAATTGAGAGGAAAAGGGCCTGATAACATTTAGAATGTTCTATTTTTTAAAGCCTTTTTTGTTTATTTTTTTTGTGTATGACTCAAATCCTTCACGAGTACTCTACACTGAGACTCTTGCTCTTATCCATGCTGTTTTCCACAGCTAAGGCAGTCCCAGACAGCCAGAGCTGGCTCTCAGCTGGGGATTTCCTCACTATGGGGTCTTGAATTAGGGGCTGACACAGCATGGTGAGGGTCTCTACCCATTGCTCTTTGTATACGTGACTTGAGAGTGCCCTGGGCACCTCTTCTGCTAGAAGAGCTCTGGGCTTGAGGCATCAGGAAACAGCCTCAAGGCACCTTAACAAAGACTGCAGAGGCCAGAGTCCTATGTGGAGATTGTATGGATTGCTTTGTCCCTGTCTTGAGTGGCAGGGATGGTGACTTTCAGCATGGAGACAGAGTAGGTAACTATATTTCACTCCATTGCCCACCTAGACAACACACCAAATATGTAGCACTACACCTGCTTGTGCGTGTGATATCATACATGAATAATGCCTTCCCCCCCAGACCCCTTTTAAAGGCACTCCTTTAAAAGTAGCTGGAAATGCAATGGTGGTGAGAAAACTGCTATAGATACAGTACCAGGATGTCAGGGTTCTGCGCCTTGGCTATAAAGTCAACGTTGATACCTCCAATCACCACCTTTAAGAGGGAAGAAAGAAGTAAAAAGTCATTGGAAGGACTGGAGGAAAAAGTTTCCAAGTCATGTTTGCTTTTCCTAGTCACTTTTCCCAACCCTCTTGAAAGCTGTCTCATTTACAGTGTAAAGGCCAGTGCTTATTTTGGATGGCTAGACACAGGTTGGTACAATCCCAATTAGAAAGAACCAAAATCTCTTCTGTATGTTGGTTTCTGAATTATGCCTGCTGATAGCCTTCCCCAGCGTGGCAGGTGGGATGTGACTCTGTGCACACAGGGGTGCTGGTGGTTTCTCTGTGAGGTGACAGAGTAATGTAAGAAGTCACATGGGTCAGGTCATGCTAGTGCCTTTGAAGCCATCTCTCTTGGAACAATTTCTGACATACCAAACCTCAGCAACATTCAAGCACTATTGTGGAAAAAAGCAAAGAAAATGGGAAAAAGTGGGCAGAAAAATGCAGTCATTTCTTGCAAGCTCCCAGGAGGAATTGCCATACCCGGTGACACTTTACAGATTGCTTTTTTATTGTCCTTCAAAGCCAGAATAAGCAGTACAGCTCCACAAACAGGAAGTTTCCAGATTCTTTGGGGACATACAGCTGTTTTTTCTCATTCCATCAAATGCTGGGTTATTGCCTCTGGAGTCAGTGCCCTCTTTTATGTTGACAAATCCTATTGCAAATGGGTTTTAGAAAATCTTTCAGCTCTCTAAAGACCACCTAAAATAGATTTCCTGTAAACTATAGGGCACACACAAAATCCAAGAGAGTGAATAGAGTATTAGGGTTATAGTGAATCTTGTTTGGATGTGCTGTAACTCTTGTGATTTTGTCAATCATGAGCAGGAGGCCAACAAAAAGAGATATTTATAAACATTTACGGCTCTGCAGCTCAAAATATCTTTCTCCACCCTCTTCCAGGTCTACTCTTGTAGTCATGAGTTCCCTGGCACTAAGAGCAATACAGTCAAAGCTGTACATAAGGGCACAGTAAAAGGTGAAAATGTGATTAAAGTTTTAATGGCTTTGATGGTCTAAGACTTAATGGGATTAGGCCATTGTCAGTGTTTATTCCCTGCAAATGTGGGTAGAGGGGGGAGGAGAAGATGTTTATCTGTGAAGAATAAAAAGTACTAAAGGGAGAATGTGTGACAGTGAGAAATAGAAAGTTTGGTCTCTGGCTGAGTCACTTTTTACTTTTGGGAATAGATATAAATCTATCTTGTGCTGTCAGCACAGAGGTATCATGTGGAGGCCAGCAGAGGACTCACTGGTTGAGGTGCAGTCGTGTCCCCTTGGTGAGGCAGGTTCCCCTTCCTTCTGGTTTTCTGTATTTTGCTCAGGGCTACTGCAATGCAGCTGCCCACTTTGGCATTATTCTGGATCAGTGCAAGGTCTGTTTGGCATTTCTTTGAGGAAAAACAAAAATACCAGCAAGATTGACCTGTTAGAAGCTTATGTAGGAATTCAGAGAGGGAGAAAGCAGGAAATATGTGCTGTGAGGCTTGGTAGAACTGATTCCCCACACTGTAATCCTTTTAGGGCATGTATAATGGGTTACAGTACTGCATAAACACTCTGATATTTTCATTTTTTTTCACCTTCCTCCCCCAGTATCCACGGAAAGAAAACCTGTCTTCTCCATTTGACAGATAGGGAATAGAAGCAAAGGCTTCACAGAGAAAAGAGAAGGTGAAGTGCTTAAATTAGAGCTGAGAGTCTAAAAACATTAGAGGATCTTGGCCAGCTTTCCAGAAAGAGATACCTACTGAGATTTTGCCAAGTCACTATAAGCAATTTTTTTAGTATTTGCACTAGGGGCAGAGTATCAGAGGCTTTGAAAGCCCCACTTTTCATCTGCATACAGCTCTAATTTCCACAAATGCCTTTACTAATCTGCTCTGATTGGTCAGGTCTCCTAGAGGGCTGGCAGCAGAGCCTGGATGAGAATATGGCCCTCTTAAATTCTATGCTGGCATCTCAGTAGATCTGCATTTTTCTTGCCTGTGTGAGAGGATTCCTGTTCACACAAGGGTGTTTTTCTTCCAAGTTTCTCTTACTCCACACCCACGTGAAGTGCTGGATGAGGCAGTGTGATGTACAGCCCAGGTACCTTCCAGAGAGCAACCTCACCATGGGCAACAGTGGCCTGACACTCCATCACAGGGCAGGCAAGCTTGGGGGTCAGATATGAGGGATCTCCTTAGGCTCTGGACCACCTGCTGTCTGTTTTGCCCTCCATTTTTCAATGCAAAAGGGGATGAAGACAGTAAGGATGCTCCTGAAAAATCAGGGTGCAGCTGCTAAACTCTCATCTATTTGCAGATACTGATATGTTTGCCCCTTGCTAGATTGTCAATGAAGTGGTAGTGTTTTCCACCAAGCACCATCAGAAGAGATATGAAAGACACTGGAGTACTTCCTTTTATCTCCCCATTCGGTAAAAGGATACTGGAGTCCAGTGATTTCCCATCAGTTAACTCTATGAGCTTCTGTAACAAAAAAGGGGTCACTTCTTTGCCTGTGATCCCTTTGGACCTGCAAATATAAAGAGAATTCCTGCAGATGAGAAGGACTGAACTGCAAGAGCATCAGAGGAGAAGCACTCTTGCTAGCAGATACTTTATCTCCATAACCACATACCATAAAAAGGTCCTGTAAACAAGCTTTGGGTTACATAAAGCTACAGTTGAAAGTATGTTGTGGGCTCACCCATGCCTGAGGTTAAGCTGTGCTACAGCTCTTGTAGCACTGTCTCTGAATTCCTTTACTGCCTCAGGACCACTGGGTGAGCAAAGGATGAGGTTGAGGTTGCTTCTCACCTGGCTTCACTGAGAGCTTGCTGGATGGCCTCTTCGATGACCTGGCCTGAGGCAGCTCGCTCCTGGGGACAGGGCACTGCTATCAGCACCCCGCTGCTTAGGCCTAGCCCCAGTGCACTGTCTGGGAGAGGATGGGCAGATTGTTAGTGGTTCTCCTTGGATAAGTCAAGTGCTGAAGGAAAAGGACAGAGTAGAGTGGGTGCAGGGTGAAGAAACCCACAGAGCTGAAGCTCTGGTTCTTAGCCGACCCAAGATCAGGGTCTTCTCCAGCCACCAACCAATTCACGTCTCCCTGTCTGTACAGCAAATAGGGCAAGGATTTCTGTCTTTTTCAAACCGATTCCATTTCTGAAGGCCCAGAAACTGTTTTTGCCGACACATTAATATGTGTATTCCCTCCACTTCACAGTGTGAAGAGAACATAAATGAATGAGCATGCCAAAGTGGCTGCAGCTGGCTTGCAATTTTACTTGCTGTAAAGACTGCACTTCCCTGCTACTTCATTTTCAAAGTACTGTTGAAGCAGGAATGGAGGAGGTGGGATGGTGTATTTTTCAGGGTAAATTTTTCTCCATAGTTAAAGAAAGTGCCTAATCCAAGGTGCTCCTTGTGTCCCTCTTTTCCAAGACCTCACATGGGCCTTTCCTGTCTAAAACACACCAATGAGTTTAGCTGCCTCCTCTTCGTCCCGGACATGATATGGTGCCTGGAAGCCACTCTGGCGTGAGAAGAAGGCTGGGAACTCTCTTGATTCTCCAAAGGCAGCCACACAGACACCCTGAGTCTCCTGCAGCAGTGGAGGTGAGACGAGCAGGTAATCAGCAGAGGGAAAGGGAACCCAAGTAAAGAATGGGACTTTTTCCTTCTTACCCAGAAAGAAACTGCCTTTCTTTAGCACAGGGCTTGGTTATTTTTATACATCCCATTCTATTCCATTCTCCCAACAACATATTTCAAAGCAAAGAGCCAGACATGGTAACTGGCTAGACCAAATCAGGCTTACTGAGAGAGGAGGCATGCACGTCCTTTGCTTGTGCTTGGAGCTGATCAAAAGCCATGCTGCTGTCACTAGCACAACACTGAGTCCAAGGTAACACCCTGTGATCTGATGGTATGTCATAAGCTGACAGGAATATAAATGAGTTCTGTTTGCAATTGAGAAGTATTGATGCTGGCCGTCACCTGAAGTGCTGGCTCTGCTGGTTTCCAACATACCAAACTTTTAAAGGTGACTCTATTGAAAATCATCTGGATTCCCATTTTAATTTTGATTTTATTTAGTGTTCAGTGGATCTTTCCTCATCCATCAATATCTGGGAGAATTCTCCCAGAAAATCAAGTTTAAGGCCAGAGAAAGAGGGCATGGTTAGCACTGCCTTTGACCTCAGTTGGAACAGCTGCTGGAACAGCCCCTTGGACATGGATAGATTTGTGTTAGGGAGTAGCCAAGTGCTTGTACAGCCCCAGGACTACAGAACTGTAAATGTGGGTTCATGTACTCTCAATAATAGTTTCTAAAAGTCTTAGGCTTAGTAAGTACCTTCATGCCACTGGGCATTCTGTATACAAAGAACAACATTATCTGCTTTCAGGCCCCGCTGCCCATGCTACCTACCAGATATTCCAGTGTCCTGCCAATATCAAGGATAGACTTGGCTCCTGCAGATACAACAGCAACTGGAGTTCGTCCTAGCTCTGTCAAGTCAGCACTCACATCCATAGCTGTCAGGGGACAAGCAGTCATCATGTTGGTGATTGTGTGGTACTCCAAGCTGATGTGATCTGCCCTCTTAAAAAGCTGTGTCTGCCTGGGATGCCACTGCCTGATTTTGTAACTGCTTAGGTCCACAAACACATTACAGGTTTAGATCGTGCCTTTACATGTTGAAATTGAAAGAGATATTGACAAAAAGAAGTTACATGGCTGAGGGCAGAGGTGCAGCCTTGCACTGTATCTCTTGGTTCCGTGATCACGTTGATAAAGAGTATGCAAAACTTTGGTAGAAAAGAAAGAAAAATGTGTTATGCAGCAAGGATGAAGTTCAAGGAGATAGAATATCACTGAAGGAGATTTTGAGTTTAGAACTGACATTGCTGGCAAAAAAAAAAAAAAAGAAAGCACCATAAGAGCACTGATGACCTCAGGAAACTCCCTGGTCTGGAATTCACATCACATCTGAAAGGGATGGCATACAGCAGGGCACTGCATTTGTGCTATGCTAGAAATACATATGGCTGAGAAGAGAGAATTTACTTAATTCACAGACTACACTGCCAAGACTGGCACATTTTTTAAGAGAGGACTACACACCTCTAATACAGACCAGGGCCTAAACATGTTTTGTGGTGATACTCTCCTTCTCCTCATCTGTGAGAAGTTGATAGCAACACTGTGTTCAGTAGCCAATATCAGATTATCCAACCATTACAAAGAGGGAGAGGTACAGTCAGCTCCTGTTGCACCAGCAAACAATATCCATATAACCACATGTATGCAAAAGATAAAGAGAAACCCCCACCCTCTTAACAACTGGCCTGTGCTCAAGAGGAACATTTTGAAGCTTCTAGAAAGGAGATACCGGGGAGAAAATAACCATAGTTTGGTCAAGAAGAATGACAACTTCACTCTTCTGAACAGACAGTTACTGTAGGACAGACTGGGGAAAAGGAATAAGATGGAATTAAATAATAGCAACATAGAGAAAAATAGAATGTATTGATGTTCTTACTGTTCTCTCCTTCCCGATGGACACCTCCTATGCCACCTGTCACAAACACGGGAATTCCTGCTTTGTGTGCAGCAATCATTGTTCCAGACACAGTAGTGCCACCAGACAGGCCCTGTCAGGGAACAACCAGTCACAGTCAGCGCCCCGGGGTGACATGGAGAACACAGCATGTGGGCAGCAGTGGTTGTGGTCTGACACGCAGCAATGTCACAACAGCCTGCTGTCACCAACTGACCAGTGAAATTCTGATACAAATATTCTTTTGGGCAAAAAGGAAGAGGAATCATCCACCATCATCCCTGCTACATAAGCTGTTCTTGCCCTGATAGCAAAGGCCTTTGTTCCCCAGGGCATTCCAACCAGAAGTCATCGTGGGCAGCTAGTGTCACCTTTAGCTGTCACTTTGAGCTCGCGATGGCCTACGTGTCACACAGTTTGCATGCAGTGTGATAATGCCTTATCGTGCCAATAAGAATATTCTTAGCCAAGTGCTCATGGCTTGCCAGCCCATCCAGAATGACTTTTCAGGAGCCCTGTTTCATGGCTGCTAGTCCCTTACTCTGTGGTATTTTCACTGTAGTTAGGACCACATTTGAGCTTACCAGGAAGATACTACTTTACATTATATTTTCAAGAGGTTTAAAAGCAACCTGGCTTGAACCTGGAGAGCACTATACTAATGCCATGTAGAAAAGACCACAACAGAAAGTCTGTGTACCGTACCTGGCTGAGGACAAAAGGAAAATCTCTCCGAGACACTTTAACTGCATTTTTACTGCTTGCCAAGAACTCGAGTTCCTCGTCTGTGAGTCCCACATGGATTTGGCCCCTTAAAATACCTACAGTGGCTGGCACTGCTCCGTTTACTCTTACAGTTTCTTCCACCTCTCTGGCCATGCTAAAAAGAGAAAAGACAACAATCACAAATTAGGGAGGCAAACAATCAGGCAAGAAACTGCCATGTTTGATGGCCGTCACTCTCAGTTTTACAGTTCTTGTGACTTGGGCTAAGTCCTGTTCCTCTTCCGTATCTTCCTAGTGGCGGAAGTCTTTGCACTTGAGCTTGCAGAAGTGTAAAGCTCCCATTTTCAGGTCAGCAATGTCCAAGCTCTGTGCTTCAGTTTTAAGAAAAATCATTTGGCTTACAAGCAAACCTGGTTGTACAATAGACTACTGAAAATAGGGATCTTTTCAAAATAGGACCTCTCTGTATTTCTTATCTGTTATTTCTCTGAGATCATAGATCTTCACAGAAACCCCAGCTAATTTAAGCCCTGGTCAAATGACCAGAATATATTTTTTTCACAATTCAAGCAGTTAGATATAGAGTAACAACAGTGCCAAAAAGCTGCTGCCTAAGGGTACTCTAGGGCTGCAGACTAGCATACACTATCCTTTTTAAGAGCAGCTTCTTCTCCCTTTCTGAATTACTTGGACATATGCTAGGCAAACTTTAACTACTGAAACTACCTCTTCTCCAAAACAGAGTTTTCAGAGCTTCATTCTAAGACAGAATGTCAGGCAGAATAGTGGCCAGGTAAAGAGCAAGGTGGAAAATCAATACCAAAACATTCCTGTGCTTTCTGAAAGCAGGGATGGAGGGGAGAGTGCAATGTAACTCAATAAAACATAAGTCTACTGAACATTAATAAATAAAAGGTAGAGGTAGGGGGTTTTCCATGCATGGTACAGAAGGCAGGGAGAGGGACCAGCAACTCTCACAGTAGCTGCTCTGAGTGGGCTAAGGAACAGATTTCCCTATTGTGTTTCAATCCTTTTTGCATTACAAAAGATACAGGAAAAGAAACTGCAGAGGGTTTTCAATGTCTGTACAAAGTATGCAATTGAAAAGGCTGGTAGCTCTCTTTTAGAGCAAATGATGACATTATCTGCTGCGATATTTTAAAGGAAGACAGAAATTTAATTACTAGGCTCCCCATATGTGTCCTTAAAAGTCCAAATACAAATGTTTTAACACTTGAACTCATATTCTGCATGCCTAGAAACCTGACATATACATTTGGTCTTGCAACGGCTTTGGCTGGATCAAGAATACTGATACCAATCCACCAGGTATGTGCTTAATTCTTATAACTTTGTTGAACAAGGAACATCAAAATCCAGCACCTCAGATTCAGAGGATAGGCCATGCCATGAGTAATGATGGTGCTTTCCAAGGCTACAACTGGTCTCCCCTCCATCAGGGCTTCCTGGACAGAGGGATGAATCCTGACATAAGCACCTGGGCATAAACACAGAAAAGTGAGTTATTTGTATGTGTATTCATAGTAACTAGTGAGCTGTTTTATAAAAGGCAAATTGTTTTCATCACAGCAAATTTATCCCCCTTCAGCTGCTCTTTGGGGTGAATTTACAAATAACTTCAAGAAGACTGAAGCTGTGTTTTATGTAAGTGAAATATCTGCAAAATATCTCTGCTGTTAATATGAATTATAATCCTCATCACTATCAGTGAATGGTCCTCTGCCACCATTTTTGCAGTCATGTTGTTATTTGCTCCAGGAACATTGCTTGAACATTATTGTGAACTAACTGAGTCCTACAACCATGCCCAAACACAGGGATATGTTTTATAAGTGGAAACACCAAGGATACCATAGTAACTCAATATATTTTAAGACTATCGTACACCAAGACAATTGTTGCTCTTTGCTGTGGTCCCACAAGACTGCCACCAAGGTCTCTGCTGCATTCAGATGAGGAAAATGCTTTCCACCCAGGAACTGTTTAGGACACCTAAACAGAATACACTACTCACCATGCAGAAATCTTCTCACCTGGGTGGTCCCACGTGCCATGGTGGACACATGTCTTCCCAGGCTGGAGGTTATTTTCCTAATCATCTTGTGCATATGGATGGTGCTGAGATAATGGAAGTCAGGTAAAAATGAAAGATGTAATTTAGCAACTATGTGACCTTGTGAAGCTAAAAATATCAGCTCTTGCCTTGATCTTGGAAAAGTAAACAACCCTTGTCCAGGAGATTGCCTGGAGTTTCCTGGTGTTTCAAGCATGAGCCAGGGTGTCAAAGCAAAATGTTATGCTGAAGAAATGGAGTTACAAGGGGTCACCTGGCCCATTATCAGCGCTGGGCTGAAATCGTGGTAGAGCAGAGAAAAGGATGAGAAGTAAAAAACTAGGGAGAATTTTGAAGCAGGCAACTTTTTAAATTCCAAAGCAACTTGCCAATGACAGATTTCAGGCTCAGCCACTGCCACCTCCAACATGAAAGGTCACAAGGAGAAATCTACAAGGCAGCGTAGTGCTATAGAAATATGAATCTGTTTTTTGCTGGTGTCTAGAAGAAAATAAGCATTTCAGAAAGGAGATGAGAACTGGCAAATTGGACTGGAACTGCAAAGAGGAAAGAGCAGCTTTCCCCAGAGCAGGGAGTGCTTTATGTAGGCTCACATTACATCATCCTTCTTAGTGCAATGCCTTGGAAGCAGAGTGGCAATTCAGCCCCGGCAACAAACTCCAGAACTCCTCTGGTCTCTTAGCAACTCCTTTTCACTTTAATTAAATTCATTCCCAAACAGAGAAAGAGGGGGAGAGAGCTGTAAATGTTAAGGGAGTGGTCTGGTCCAGGCCTTGGGGCAGTTTCACTTAATGCCTGGCTGCTTCACATACTTTCCCTGGGCATTTAACCATATCCCTTCAGTCTCTCTATTCCTCACCCCTTCACTAGGAGGAAAGGATTCCCTTCCTCAGTCCTTTGTACCTATTGTTAATTTAGATGGCAAATTAAGTAAAACACAGTACTGTGTTCATGATACACTTAGTGGAACATGGCTCTGATCTCAGTACAGTGTGTGGCTTTACAGTTATATAGAAAATTCTTATACCCAGGAAGAATATATTTGCCCAAATATAAAGACTTCAGCTATACAGGACAGCTTGGGCTGTGTTACATAAGAAAAGTGGCACCGGATCAACTAGACACAATACACACCTGACTGAAACACTAAGATTTTCCACTTTCCAAACTGTTAATAGGGACTAAAAATTATCTTAATGAAGTTTATGGAATCATGCAATAACAAAAAAAAAAAGTGACAAAAGCTCTTACTTCATGCTTACAACTGTGCAGTGCTAAGCTCAGTAGCCTGGGCAGTTCATGGGCTCATGCCAATGTTCTGGTATTGCTGTGTGTGTGCCTACACAGCCCTCACTCTCTGGGGTAAAGTCATCTTTGGAATAAATTCATTAAGGCAACAAGGTTACGCCAAGGATTGGTTGAGCTGCTCGAGCTGTGCTCTGAATTTTAACAACCCCCCAAACTCTGAAGCACAAGAGCCAGGAGTGCCCATACTGTGCTGGCTGGTGGATAAAAACCAGCTGGTCACCACCTGAAACCCAATACGGCTGAGCTGATATCCACTGGAAACTCAGCCAACACTCAGCCTGAGCTGGCTCAAAGGTTTTCGAAGCTTGGCAAGTTCTGCAGCAAGACCTGTACGGCCTTTTGCCTCTCAACCAAACTGCAGATTCGTAGTGCAAGTTTCAGGCAGCTCTAGCACAGACCGGCTCTCCTCCCTCTTCCAAACTGTCCCTACTCATGTCCCCTGTGATCGATCCGGTGTATCCGCCCTCACGGAGCAATGGCCTGGCATGTTTCTTACCTCTGGGTGTCCGTCTCATGGAGGGAGGCTGGGTGGGTACTGGAGCAATGCCTGGGCAGCCTGGGAGGAGGTGGAGGAAGGGGGGCAGGCAGCACATGGGGGTGCGCAGGCCAGGACTTCTGGCCAAGAGAGTCTATTTATTATTAACCACAGGCACAGCTGAGCTCCACAACTGCTCCCTGCCTGGGGTGCAGGGGGCCATTTCATGGCTTCTGTGATTATTTTCGTTCACACAGAGCCAGATTTTCCCCTTTTCTCATTTTTCAGATTCCTTTGCTATTAGATTTTTTTAAATCAGTGAATTCATTACTCACTAAAACAATGCCTTTGCAGACTGAGGCACTTTGTATCTATGCCTAAAAAGCTGGGGAATCACATTCATGCCTCCCCCACAACCTTGCTAAATGCAGCTAAAGCTCTTCCTTCTCAGGGTAAGAGCTCTGCCCAGCTCTTGGCCTCCCCAGAGAGGAAAGCTGTAGGTCTAAAGATAGTTGTGGCCACATTTCGTAGGATGCAGACACCTGGTGATGCCAAGAATACAAGCTGGGTACCCAGCAAAAAACTCTTGTAGTCACCTCCTGTAAAGACAATCCATTCTAGCAGTTCTAGGGCAGCTTTGAACAAGGACTTTGAAACTGATAAAAAGCCTCATAAAAAAGCCATGATACTTTGATATCTAATGCACTGGTATTGTGCATGTTTCAGTTTTATATTCTGCAGAAAATATCAGAGTTGAGAGTTAAATGGCCATGAAGGAATTGATTTACGGGATAAAAGACAGACATGATTCCATGCAGCATCCACGAATAACATAAAACTAGCTGAAGTAATTGCTAATGTATTGCTGAAGTAATCATTGTCAAGCAACTGATTTTACTGCAATCCATTAATCAGGAAATTGTAAAACATAGGTTGTTAAAGCAGTACTTGCACTTTACACTTGTCCGTTTCAAAAGAGATTTCCTGAAACTTTTGTTTAACACAGCAGTAACAAATGGTGTCTTATTTTCTACGTCCTTCCAATCTCTTCAACTAAACACTTTCAAGGAAACTTCAAACAAAACTTGCTGAGTTACAAAGACAATCCGCCTCTGACTTCTGTTACCCAGTCTGGAAGGAATTTAATTGCAGGAATGATAGATTGCATCCTCAGATGCCATAAATGGATGCTGAAGATTTTGTGAACGGTATCTTTTTCCTGGGGGGATGGGTAGTCAGATGTATTGTAAAGAAAATGTGTACGTAAAATAACATTTTTGGAAAAAATGCACAAATTATAATGACATCATTTAATTTTCCACTAAATCTGCAGTATTCTAGGAATCTATCTGGGCCATCCCATTGTTAACATGCTATCAGGCAAGATGATTTAGTAATCAAGCCAGTCACTCAGTTTCCAACTCTCAGCATCATCTCAAGATGATCTTATGCAATGGGCACCCCAGTTCAGCCTGTCAGATAAGTCAGGGGTAAGAATGCGTTGCTTGATTTGCCATTTTTCTCCTAAAACCCAGTGGAAAATCAGCCTGTTGGGTTTATAGCTCAGCCTTCCCGTATGAACCCGTACGTCTCTGAGACAAAATGGAGCTGCTCACTCAGCTCTCTGAGGGTGCTCCTGTGATCTTGTGCATATCCTAGGTTCTGGAATTGTGCCCAGCAGGCTTCTGCAGTGTGATACATGGCTGATGATGGTTTGGGAGCAGTTGGAACTACAATGTGTAGATGAGAAAGGAGAGAGAGCCCTGGAGAACAGCTGGTTTGTAAGTAACAACAGGTTTGTAAGGAACTGTGGGGCAACGTCTAACACTTCTCAGTCCCATCTGCCTGCAGTGACCCACAGCTCGCTGCTGGTACTTCCCTCTCCAGGCCTCAGAAGTAGAAGTTAATATTAAATAGGTTTCTGGGTAAAATGGGAGTGGTTGGGAACAAAGAAATTGCCATGGCAAATTCCTGCTGCCTGCTGGGAGCTGGGCCCTCGGGCCACCCTTCCATTTTCATTCCTGAGTGATTCCCACACCAATTACCATGTCCCCCGAAACCTTTTGTCTCTCAGGGCCCTCCAAGGCATTAGGGAAATGGGAAGCTCCACATTACTTTTGTCATGTCTGCCCTGGGACAGTATATTCCTTTCCCTGTGCACCTGCTTTCTGAGAGTCTGTTAAGAGTTGTTAGGCTGGAATTTGCTTACTGGTGTTTCTCTGTTGTAGAAGGTTGCTTCTAGGCCACCAGAATCCAGAAGAGGTAGCAGAGACATGCAGAATCACAGAGAACACCTGCTTGTCACTGTCTTTTTGGGGTGTGTTTAGTGCTTGGCTCAAGACTCCTGTCGGTGAGAAGCCAAGGACATGATGTGGATTGGGCAAGCAGGAGTTTCACAACCAGGATTTATTACAGAGCCAGTGAGGTCGGGAGGGACCACGGTGGGACATCCAGTCCAACCTCCCTGCTCCAGCCGGGTCGTCCTGGAGCACGTGGCACGGGATTGCGTGCAGATGGTTCTTGAATATCCCCATGAGGGAGATATTACGGCAGGAGGAGGCGATGTCTCTCAGCCCAAAAGCGCAGCACGGGGTGGCTCAGTGCCGACTTTCGGGTCGGGCTTTTGAGGCGCCACTGACCCGTTTTGCTCCCCCACCTCCCGGCCGGCGCCATGTCGCCGTTCCGTGTTGCTGCCCCCGGGAAAAAGCCCTTTCCCGGCGCCAGCTGATTCTGCCGGGCGGGGCGAGGCCCAGGCGCGGGGCAGCGTCGGGGGCGCTCCCGCCGGCGCCGCGGGGGCGCGCGCGGGTCTGCGCGGCCGCGCGGGGGCAGCACCGGTCCGGCCACGCCCCGCGCGCTCCCGCCCGCGCGCCCCGCTCGGCCAATGGGAGCCGCCGCTCAGGAGGGAGGGGGCGGGGCCTCGTCGCGCTCCGCCCCCCAGGCCGGAAGGCTCCCCTCCCGGAACTTCCGGCGCTGCCGCCGCCGTGCGGGATAAACAGAAATGGCGGAGGCGGTGGCGGCGCTGGAGACAACGGCGGGTGCGGCGGCCGCGGCTCTGGGCGCGCCCGAGGCGGCTACGGGAGCGGCGGCCGCCGCCTTCGACTTCGCGGCCGTGCCGCCGCCCTCCGCGGGGCCGGGGGGAGGCGGCTGGACCAAGCAGGTCACCTGCAGGTACGAGCCGTGTCTGCGGCGGGGCGGGCGGGGGGGGGCGGGCGCGGCCGCCCTTCCCTGTCCTTCCCTTCCCTATCCTTCCTTTCCCTTCTTTTCACCCCGCAGGAGCTTTTCCCTCATTGCCGCCGCTTCCCCCCCCTTGCCCCCTTAACCCCCCCCTCCCCCCACGGTCACGTACGCGCGGCGCGCGCCCGCCCGCGGGGGCGCGCTCCCAGCCCCGCCCCGCGCGGCGCGCGCCCCCGCGGCCGGCGAACGGGCCCCGCGGCCTGGCCGGGGCTGCGGCCGCACCGGCACCGACCGGACCCGCCACCGACCCCGGGCGGGGCTCCCGCGGGAGGCGGCGCGGCCGCAGCTCCGGGCCCGCCGGTGGGGGCGGTGCGGTCCTGGCCCCGACCCGCGGAATAGGGTTTGTTTCTGGGGCCGCGCCGCGCCCGGGGTGGTTTGGAGGCGCTGCCGGCGCCTTGCGAGGAGCCGCGGGCTGCTGTTCATTGTGTGAGAACGGCCCCGCAGCGCCCGGCGCGAAGGGCGGCCGGAAAGGAAGGGAAAGGGAAGGAAGTGCTGCAGCCGCGTCCCGCAAAGCGCGACAGAGCAGGAAATGCGAAGTAATTCGAGCGCTTGTGCGTTTCAATCCACATTTAAAATTGGAAACGAATTCCCGATTGATGCAGCGACAATTAGTTATTAAAGAGGAGAGCAGGAATAAGTCAGGGCAGGCTGGAGGAGGCGAGAAGCGCTGCTGCCCGTGTCACACCGAGGTGCTGCGTCATTTCCTATCGGCGTTTTCCCTTAAACCGTATTTCTGATAAATCTTCTGTATGGGGTTATGCAAGCCGTGCTGCGTGTTTTAAAGCTTGCCAGATGGACTATTTTTAAATCTACACTGCTGGTCTGTTGGCAGGCAGAAAGGAATTTAAAACAGTTTTGTGAATGCAGACATATTAGTTTGTATGAAAGCAAATGGTAATCCAAGATTAACATCGAGGAGTATGTCCTGATTTTTTTTCAATTTTATTTTTAAATAAAGAAAAATAAAAATAATAATTTTAAATTACTTTTAGCCCGAATAAGTTTCTGAGCAAGTACATTCCGAGTCACTTGGAAGTAAAAAGGATCATCTCTTGGGCAGAAAGGAAGAGGCTCCAGATCTTGCTTCAGCTCTATATCTGTCCCGCATTTTCTTTTTATATTTGTGCCGATTGCAGGTTGCAGCAGCAGCATGAAGAGCCGCTGCTTGGCTTTGGCAGGAGCTTGCTTGCTGTGTCCCTTCACTGTGCTGCTCAGTCTGCCCTGTTTAAAACGTCCCTATTCGACATTTATTTTGGCTAATGCCCTACTAACTGGTTCCCTTTGGGAAGCACCGTCTGTCAGCGCTCTCGGAGCGCTCCTGCAGAGGGCTCCTCCGGCGAGCCCCCGGGTTAATGTTTGATGCCGGCCACTTAAACGTGAGGAGGAAGTGGCCGAGGCCCGTGCTTAGCTCAGCTTTACGAGCGAGGCAAGGTCAGTGCTCCTTCTGTATAGATTGCCTCGTAATTTCTGGAGATCGAAAGGTTGAATTAGCCAAATTGGATTTGTGGGACGGCTATAGACAGGTATAGATGCAGGATCGATTTATTGAAGACAGTAACTGCCATAGTACAGAAGCAGTCAAGTTCATCAGGGTCCTGCAGTGCAGTCAATCTGTCTAGGGAATATATTTAGTTGCAAACACTCTGGACTAGCAGGAAGCTAAAGCTACTCTTTTGTAATGGTTAATGTGCTTTAACGTGAGCTTAAACAATGAGATCTTGGCCAACGATCTGATGAACATCTCCATTCTTTGTTCTCTTTGACTAATCCTGCTAGTTATCCCATTGCCTGCTTTATTAATTTTTACAGGGCTGTTCCAGTTGTAGGCAGAATAGCTTTCCTCAGACTTTAAAGTGAAATTAACAATTTTGACTTGGCCTTCTGGGAATGTGTAATAAGAATTTTGGGTTTCTAAGTTTGGCTTCAGTAGGATGTATTCATATTCAAGAAGATATGTTTCGTATTATTAAATCTTGGTTTACTTTTATAAATGAGCTTGAGGATTTAACAGTAATATGAAGGGGTTAAGTTTCAAAATGCACATTTTTAGTGTGGGAGGTACAGCAGTTTCTGTCTGAGTAACACTGCACAATTCTGTTTGTTCACAGGCTTTTTTACTTGAACCATCATAAGGGTGACAGTAAATGCTGCCTGAAAAACTTCTGGGAGACAGTGGTCCCTTCA